TCCAATCTCTCCCTCTCTCTCACTCTCTACCCACGAACCACACCAGAGGCGACGGCCACAACATCACACTGTCGACGAACAGTAGCACGATGCGGACTCGACCCCAACATATTTGTTGAACCTATACCTCGTTTGCCGCACTGAAATGCAAACACTCACAGACGAAGCAAACGTCGGCGTCATCCTCGTGTTTGAAAATCTGAGAGCGGCGACGTCATCTCCGACATCACAATGCAGCTGCTTGGGGTATTTTCACACCATACATAGTATACAAATCAATGTTTTGGGACGCCAGCGGCACTGAAACGTTGAGCGACTCTAATTGGGGGCAAGTTTGAGCTGCACTGAATGTGATTGAGTACAATGAGCCCATTTCGACGGCGATTTCTTGGTTAATTTGGGCGTCGTTACCGAGCCGCACAGCATGTGCACCCTGCGGTACGATGAGGATCATTTTGCCTTTCATTGGCCTAATTCGACTAGTTCGACCGTGCCGTTAGATTTCCAGCTGGGATTGTTGCCATGTTATCGGAAAGTCCGGCTTCTGAAGATAATCCTTCCGATAGAGTGGCCTCGAAATCGCCATTGGGAAGTAAGCCTGCAAAAATGTTACGCGATGGTGGTGAATATGGGGAAATTAATCAATGTTTAAACAATGGTAAAAAGTAAAAAAATAAAATTGTGAACACTGTTTAAAAGTTAAATTAATTATTTTTTGAACTTTAATAGTTTACAAAATTATTTATTTACTTATAAATAATCGTTTTTTAACTCTAATAGTTTACAAATCTATTTTCATTGTAATTGTTTATGACCAGATTTGTGTTAATTGTGATTGTATATGACTTGGTTACATATAGTCATTAATTAGACTAAAATGATCACAGATAGCCACACTGAAAACAAATTTGGTGATGAACACATAAGGTCACAGTTCATACGTTATGAGTCGCAATACGCCGTTAAGGTCACAATTCACTAATATGTCACAATATACATAGGTCACAAGTTATAGCCCAGAAAAAAGATTCGTGAATTTAATATATTTAATTATAAATATATTTTTTTGATTAATTATTTCATAAGTAAAATTTTAATAGTATTCAATTTCTGAAATTTCAAACTTTATTTTATAATTTTGAAATTGATCATATGCATATTCATCCCACTTGATTAGGTCACAGATTCAATAAAACTGGTCAAAGGTCACAATGTGAACATGTCACATTTCTAATGGAATTGGTCACAGGTTATTGCCAAAAAAGAAGAAAAAAGAAAAAAAGTAGTCACTGGAAACATGATTGGTCACTTGAATAGTCGCCGAAACGATCGTCAGAATTGTCGTCGGAGCTATCGCCGGAGCAGTTGTTGGAATATTTGCCGGAATGGTTGCCGGAGCCGTCATCGGAGTAGTCGCGCGAAATATTTGCCGGAGAGGTCGTCGGAATTGTTGCCGGAGCCATTGCCGGAAGTGAAGTGGGGTAGTGTGGGGTGGGGTGGAGAGAGAAGGAAAAGAGTTTGATGTGATGGGTGAGTGGGTTGGAGGTGAAGTGTGGTAAGTAGATTAATTATATTATATTTTAATTAAATATTTAATGAATTTAATTATCACCTTATTTTTGAAAGATTTTTAGAAGTTTGTTAGTTTTGAAATGTGGTTTTTAAATGGAGGATTTATGTAGTGTTCCCTTTTAATAAATGCATTATCTAATAGAATTGGTCGGCCTAGAAAAAAAAATACAACCTGGTAGGCAAAAGCGTAGGCAGGAGCTC